TTAGTTTTCAAGCGCCGGCGGTGCTGTGCGGGCTTGATTGTGTTAATTCGCGTCTGTAAGTACTTTGAATCTTCTTAGAGCGGAAACATCGCCAATTTGATTCGATAATTTTTGGTTATTACTGTCAAATTAGCAGTGCTAGTTAACCCTGCTGCAGAAACAGGTTAATTTTACCTGTACTGCTTCAAATAAATTCCCTTTATGATTCTAACAACTAAACTAATCCAAAAATTAGTGTAGAGGCAAGTATCGGGGTATCGAATCCACTCACTCAAGAATTGGGTACTTAGCTACAAACAGGAAACAACGATGATAAAGGATGATGTCGTTTATGAAAGGATTTATAAATTGTAGGAGTTTGATTGATTGATAGTGATTATGACTAAAATAATGTAAATGCAAATAAAGTAAAGCAGGCAAGATAAAATATAGGTTGTGAATATGGAAAAAAAAAGTGGGTTATTACTTCGTTTCATAGGCAAATATTCAAATTAAGTACTCATGCTTGTTTCCCATGCATCCAACTAAAACTCATAGACAAAACAATAATTGGTAGTGAGTTCCCTTGCTCTCGACCCAGGAACTCGAACTCAAGAAGTATTCAAAACCTAGTACCTCTCATCTCGATGCCGTCATGCAAGTAGTGAATTACAACTCTTTATACTATTTGTTAACCATCTTCTCTCTCTTGATGACAAAATATGTTAACGGGCATATAAGGCTCGAAAGTCTCTACACATCCAAAAAGATCTCTCTTTTATTTACTATGAAGAACAAATAGCAAAAATTATTCTACGAGATCAATCATAAAATAATTACCTTTCTAGCATGGAAAACATGTAACACTTGTAGTAAATTCTTCTACTTATCTAATCCACTTGTAAAACCCCATGAATCAATTATCTCATGAGGATTGTGGTGATGATGATAATGGTTGTAGAAGTAAAAAAGCATAATTAAAAGACAAGAATATAAAGATGGAAGATTAAATTGCATGAAATGTAAAGATACAATTGAAAAGTAAAGAACTTGAACTTGAAAAGTAAATAGACTTGTATTATAATCAATGGAACTTCTTCTACAACATAAAGTAAAGTAAAACCCTAATGATACTTCAATTTAAGATCAAAGCATGATGAATTTCATGGCTCTCCTCTCCTTATATAGTGAGGAGTCCTTCAAACCTAGAACTCCTTGAAAATTGCTAGAAACGAGTTTGTAATTTATTTAATAACTTGTAGGAAGCTTCTGGAGCTGGAATTTGGTGGAGATCTTAGCCAAATAACATGGAAGACTCAGTCAAAATCATAGGTCCAAATTTCTTCTAGAAACATGACTACCAAGAAGCCCAAGAGCCCCAAAAACAATCAGCAGAAACTGGGACTGACAGGTTTTGACGAGTCTTTTTGACCTGATTCTATCTCTGTCTGCTGCAATCTTTCTTGACAGTCTTGAAGTAGGAAGTGAGAACTTTCTAATGTCTATTTGTGCTTCAAAATCCGAGCTCTCTAACCCTTTTATTTAATTGCGTCAAGTTTTATTTTTATTTTTTTGATTGGAAAGCGGGGTTGTTACAGGGGTCCCCTACCCAGTTTCATAAGAATCATAAATCAAAGGAGCATTACAATCTCTTATAGGCAGTACCTATACTATCATCATACACAATTTTTCTAATGTCTTGTGAAAAGGAACTAGGTACAATATCAATATAATCTAGTGTAGGAATCTTGTAGCTAGTGCATCAGCTAACTTATTTGTTTCTCTATAGGTGTGCTTGATCTGGAACTTATCAATCAGGTCATGTATTCTCCTCTTCATATGCTTTGCTTGCCATGGAACTCTTCCCTTGTTGATGAAAGTCACAAGATTTTCTGAATCTGTCCTTACCTCTAGCTTGTGTATGCGCTCTCTAAGTGCCAGTAGCAGCCCTTGCTCTAATCCTTGGAATTCAATCAATGCTATGCTGTTGTAAGATGATCTTCCCTTTGCTGCTGCCAATACCTCCCCATCTTTGTCCCTTAACACAGCTGCCCATCCACCAAGTGTACCTTGAAGTGTACCATCAGTATTAAGTACGACATTATTATCTGTTGGTTTCTCCCATTTGCACCACTTAGCTTGATAGGTCTTTGGTACAATCTAAATGTCCCAAACACGTAATTGCGTCAATTTGACTACCTGAATTTGCCTTTTCGCCGCATTTTGTTTCCTTCTAGCTTTTGCAGGCGAAATGCACCTACAAACATGTAATTCTAACAATACCAAGCATATCATATCACTTTATATCATAGCTTGAGACAAATATACGTGAGTTAATGGATATATTTACACTTTGGAGCGCTTATCATCCCCCTATGGAGGTTGTCTAGGAGTCATTGGCAGTTTTGTCGAGGTTTAGGATTTCTTTTTTGTTTTTGCATGTTTAGTTGTTTTCCTTTTTATCAATTGGTATGTTTTTATGTTTGATGTGTACTTGGAAAAACTGGTGTTTAAGTTTATCTAGTTGGTATAGTTTTTCACTCTATAGCATGATATGGTTGGCTTATATGTTTCTATATCTTACTCCCTCTGTTTCAAAATGTAAGTTGTTTTAGCAATTTATTTTTGTTTCAAAATGTAAGTCATTTTAGGTTTACTTTCCAATTTTAACCTTTTTCAATAATTAATGGTATTAATTAAATCAATTAATTTAATTGTAGAAGTTTGGTAATCAAGGAATAAAAGTATAGGGAAAAGTGAGATAATTAATAGAAGTACAGGGAAAAGTGATTTAATTGTAGAAGTTTAATCTTAATTAAGGGTAAAGTAGTCATATTTTTTGTTTCTTAATTTGTGTGTGAATTCCTAAAACGACTTACATTTTGAAACAGAGGGAGTATATCGTTTGCTATGGCTGATTGCATATATACATGATATCAGGTTTATGTGCTTTATCTCTTGTTGGATATCTTTTTATATTTATATCACATCAGTATGGTTATGCTTCACACATTTGTTGTTCCTGAATATCATGTTGTGTGTGAATGGCATGTTAGCATATATCTCCGTTGGCTAACCCTGTTTCTTCCATGTTTTATCAATTGGTTTATCTTTATGGTTATGCTAACTCTCCTTGCAGCATGTTCTCGGTGGTTTGTTCGTGGTTGGACATCACCTGGGATATTTTCTTTGTTTGAGCAGGGACACTCTGTCAACTTTTGATAAAAAGGGGGAGAAGAGATATATGAATATATGGTTGATGGTTGATATAGTTATGCTTAATGATGTTCTTAACTCATAAGTGATGGTTTTGTTTCTTGATGATCTTATTTGTATATGTGTTGCCTAACCCTAACCAAAGTATGTGATTTTGCTTTCAAGATTCTTTCTACAGGCATACTAAGGGGGAGTTGTTGCCTACAAGTGACTCATAAATGTTTTGTAAAGTTATAAACATGTGTTTTGTATATTCATATTTGTTTTTGTCACAAGTTCCCAAAGGGGGAGATTATAAATGTTATATCTTGTGAATTGTGACAAACAAGGGTAAAACAGACATTTCACATGTGATGTAAAGTTATGAGTCCTTGTATTAGGTCTAAGTCTTGCTGTTTAAGTGTCCGTAAAGTTTCGGAGCTGAAGACATCAAGAATGGACGTGATCCGCGACAACAGGAACAAACTGAGTCGAGACAGGGCATGTTTGTACATGAGTCGACTGATGTATAGGAGGTTCTTTGAGATTGAACATCAGTCGACTGACCAACAACCACCCAGATGCTCCATCAACATTAGTCGACTGAGCTTATGGGCATAGTTGTGGTCTTTGGCTGTCAGTCGACTGACTGACGGGAGTTCCTACAAATTGGCTCCGGTTCAGCTCTGATTTCTCCGGTTTTCTTAGTCAAAACCCTAAGTTGGTCAATTGACTTTGACCAATGGATCTTTTTGTAAAGAAGAACTTTTCGGTGTTAACATATGGATTAAACAAGGTATTGTTGAAGCTATTATTGATCCGGGTAGCATCAAGAACATGATTTCTGAAGCACTTGTGAACAAGATGGGTTTGACAA